CTGGGCCTTCACCTCCAGGGAACATCTTGACTCAAGTGCTCTGCTTAAGGAATGAGTGTTTCTGCAACACACATTATACACTTTGGACCCCAGATTCTATATAGATACACAAACTCATCTTGTTATATATGAAATGAAAGCAGAGAGAAAATTGTCTAAGGGGATGAAGGAAACTAAAGAAATGGAAAAGTTAGAGAAAGAAATGGGGTAGGAGGGTACGTGGAGAAACATGGCCAAAGTTCATTATATATTTATATTAAAATAGCCTTATAAGGCAGGTGTGGTGGTACATGCCTTTAATCCCAGCACTTGCGAAGCAGAGGCAGGTGGTCAGCCTGGTCTGCAAAGTGAATTCCATGACAGCTAGAGCTGTTACATAGAGAAACTCTGTCTCAAAAACAAATTCTTATAAAAATCCAGTACTGTAGACAACTTAACTGATACATCTACAATACAATCCCTATACCTAAGGCTCAGAGAATATGATAGAAGAGGAGTTGGAAATATTTTAAGAACCAGAGGCTTAGGACATCTGCTACTTCTATATGACAGGGAAGTTATACTCACAGGATTTTAATGATGTGATTGCCTAAATAAGACCAACACAATAACAAAGGCAGTTGACATGCCAACTTGGATAGAGAAATTTCATGAGACCCAGGCCCTAGATGAAGAGCTACAGGCAATTAATGGATGCTGAGGGAGAGAAAGAGAGTCACTCTTCTTCAAGGATGGGCCCCTTGATAGGCTATTCAGTCCCAAGTGGTCAGTCATAAACACATACACATATGAGCAACAATTGGTAGACTCAGTAGGCTGTATTTGTGAGTGTGTGTGTGTGTGTGTGTGTGTGTGTGTGTGTGTGTGTGAATAATAAAGAAAAGGTCATGAATTTGAGATGGAGTCAGGGAGGACACAGGAGGAGCTGGATGGTGTGAATACATTATTACTCTATGAAATTCTCAAAAACATTAAATTAATAAAAAGAAATTAAAGACACAGATAAATGAAAAGATATCACTCACTAAAGAAGTATTCCTACAAATGCAACATCCAACTGTCATTAAGTTCCCTAGGCTCAGCTGCCTTTCTTGTTAGGCATTTGATCTCTCCAACCTTAGTTTCCTTACATATGAGGGGGATTTCAAAAGAAGTTTAAGAAAGCAGATGTGTTGCACCACTATTCACAATAGCCAAGTTACAGAATCAAGCTAGCTGTCCGCCAGCAGCTCAACAGAACAAAATAATGTGGAATACATGCACAACACAGTATGATTTGCCCACAAGAAGGATAAAGGTGGGCCATGCCCATGAAGATGAATGCAGCAGGAGATCATGACGTCACATGAACTCATTCAGGAAAACCAATGCCATGCCTTTTCTCACATTTGTAGATCTTCCACTTTATATAGTTGTGTGAAACCATATGCTACATAAGATATGATCATGGAAGTGAGACTCCCTGACAGAAATGAATGGGAGTAATAAGCCAGAGGGATGAGAAAGGGCAGAGGAAGGTGAATGTGGTCCAAGTACACAACAGACTTCTATGAAAATGTCTCTGTGAAGCTCATCACTGTGTGTGCCAGTAGAAAAGGATGCCTGTTCAAGAAAATGATTTTAAGACACAGATGGGTGAGACATTTGGAGTGGTCCCCAGAACACAGTGACCAATGAGTGCTGCTTCTGTTATCTCTCATCAAATAAGCATTTTCATTCCATGCTCCAAATTTTCCCATTCGCTTTTGAAGTTTTGGTTCACCAGATACCCAGATTAAAATCCGTGGTGGCACATGTTCTAAGATCAAGTCTATCACAGAGACACCAGAAGTGTCCCAAGAGGACTATTTGGCTTTAGGTACCAATGGGAAAACCTTTTCCAAATACAACATCCTTCTCGGTGCTTGTCCACAGCTATCACTATTGCCGTTCATTCGATCATCTCCCTTGAAGTTCCTCTGCCCTGCTGCTGAACAACTTGCCACTTTAACTAGAGTGATACTCAACACCTACCTAGCACTTTGTTTAAAAGTAACTGCTGAGCAATGCTCACTGTGCAGCACCACAGACCTGTCTGTCCTCACTGTCCTACGACGTGGGTGTAGGGTCACTGCCCCCAGCCAAAGGCCAACAGGAATAGAGAGACAGCCAGATGTGGTGAGAAGGTTCCTGAGGCATCTCAGTGAGTTCTAGGGTGTTATGGCTTCAGGTTTCTGTTAGGTGATTTGGGGATATGCTTGAGGAAGCAAGGCTTTTTTCATGATTGGATGCTGGTGGGAAGTGAGGGAGGAGGTTCTAAAATGAGATAAGCTAAGCTGTAGTGAAGAAACCACACTGAGTCAGCTTGGCTAAGGCATGTGTGGTCATTTTCATGGCTCGAATAATGTTCACGTTTTTGTGTGTGTTCAGTCTCAATTACAAGGTCTCAGTTTTGCCTCAGTTCATCATGAATGCCCACAGGGTGGCCCTATCTGTGATAATGTTCTATGAAACTGTTTCCCAGAAAGCTGAAGGCTCAAACCAGATCTCAGAAACACAGAGACATGGCTGAGGGTTGCAGGTCGGTCCCCAGGTGTCACAGCTGGCTTTTGCCTTTCTCAGTGACAAAAAGAAGTCGGAGAGCTTGTCCACAGCCACACAGCTAATAAACTGAGGGGCCACGATGCTAATACAATTCTGCCTGTCTCTAAGTTCAGTCACATGGTAGTGTACAAGCTTATGAAAAAGTCTGTTGTATCTGCCTGATTTCCCAGGAGAATCCTGCTGAGCTTCTTGACAGAATCCATGGAGAGAATTGCATTCAGTCTCAAGAATAGGGCTGTCTGCTGATCTCAGTGAGATCCAAAGTCTAATTAACTTACCTAATTTCAGTGGCAGCCGTTTTCCCTCCCCTTTCCACATCTCTGGTTGAGATGGGCTTTGGGTCAAGTACTCATACCTATATGAAGAAACACTGCTGACTGTAGGTCTCCAGTGTGGCTCATTTTAGATTGTATCATGATTTTATAATGCATGCTAGTTCTCTTCTGTAACTTTATGATGAGTGTCTGGAGCTGGAGACTGTGCCAGCCTCAGGGATGGGTAACAGTAGCTGGTCAGATATTGTCTACTGGACGGATGTCTGGCCCTTGAAATAACTGTTAGTCCGAAATGCAAACAAGCTGTGTTCTCAACAAGACGTCCTCACAGCAGACCAACCCAATTGCCCCCTGATACTGAAAGCTTAATTTAACAGAACAGCTTTTGTGGTGCAAGGGTCCAGCAGTAACAACGCTGAAGATGGTCATAGAGAGACCCCCTGACAAGGCTAGCCTGAGATCTCTGGAGACTCAATCTTCAGTAGGAATGTGGGGCCTTATATGGGTCAGTGGGCCTTCTCTCCTTTGCTGAGCTCCCCACACTACAAACAACGCGGTGTAGAGCCTAACAAAGGGTGTATTTTAAGAGTTACTGTGGGGTGCTGGAGAGCAGGCTCACAGGTTAAAAGTCCCTCGGGATCCAACATCCCCACCCTGTAGTTCAACCCCATCACCTAGAAAGAGGTGTTGGCACACTTAGACCTGTATACACAGTCTCTCCTCCCTGCTTAGCTCCAGCCATTCAGGTCTGAGTAGATGGCCCATGTCATAACTAGGTATCTTTGCATATGCCTGACCTACCTGCCCACTGAAACCTTTCATTTTTCTTAACTTTAATATATGTGTTCCTCTGACTGTAACACTCAATACTGAAGAAATACTTGCACAAATGCACACAAGAATATGTCCAAGGATGTTTATGTTATTTTTTGCATTAACAAGAAAATAGAGACAAGTTCTTGAGCAGGTTAAATAATCTATGTATATCTATTTGTGGTTGCCATGGAGCTAGAGAAATAGACAGTTCAAAACAGATGAACATGGAAAGGCCCTCATAGTATGTTGTACTGGTAGCCCTGGAGGACAAGGGCATACAATCCCTACATGGTAGTCAGTCTCTCCTGGAGAAAGAAAAAGATGGGAAGGAAATTTCATATTCCTGCTTTGGTTCCTCAGGAGCCCAGGTCTCCCAAATAACTCTTGACTGGGAGATTAAGTCATATAAAGCATTCACATGTGTATTCTGCTCTTTTCCAATCAAAATTTTACATTGTTTCTTTGAGCAAATCAGATATAATGAACAGTTTCCACAAGGACACGGTAGACTCAGAGGAAGCCACTGTGGTCTTTGCCGGGGTATATCTGACCACCATTCACAAAACCTGCAATCAAATTCTTAATTTACCACCAATTTGATCTCTGACTTGTAATTTTACTTAATTCTGTGGGCTTCACTTTCCTTCTCATGCACTGAGGAAAGAGGGACAAAAAATACTTCCATGGTCTCTTCGGTACAGGGTGTTAGTCTACTGCTGTCAAGGAGCGTGCCGTTTTTGTAAGAATAACAATTTGCCATAATTTTCAATGATTGTAAGCACTGCTCTTATGTGTATTAACCAGTCTGTTATAGCAACTCCATCTGTGTGGTTAACACTATTACCCCCACTTTATGTAAGAGGACACTGATGTCCAGAGATTAAACATATTACTCAAAAATCACATGGCTCTAACACTGCGGAACTTGGGCCGATTTCCAGGCAGTGCGGCTCCAGGATCTATGACTACAACTGCTCTGTAATGTTGCAATGGAGGGTCATTGTCCTGCTGCTTAAGTATCCATTTAAAAAAATGGTGTTGAGGGGGGAAAAATGTGAAAAGTCAATATTAAAACTGTAGCTGGTAAAATTGTCTCTGTAAAAGGCCAAATGCAAAAAGGGAGGAAAAGTTCTATTCCTGTATATGAACATTTTAGGATACTTTTCTTCTATATGCTATAATGTGGTCCTAGCTACATACTTCTGTGTAACAAAAATGCATTTAAAAAAAAGATGTCTCTGCTACAGCATTCTTATGCATTTTTTTCTCTGAAAATAACAGCATCGATTGCACCCCACGTTGATGCTCTCAATTTTAATTTCACAGATGAAAGAACTCGGTGTCATCTTCTACAACTGCAGCTGCCTGGTCCTAGATTTACAAAGGATATTTGCTTTATATAGCTCATTAAAATTCAAGAGCAGAGTACCTCAGACCTGGTCCAAGAGACTCTACGGAGTGTATGACAATGAGAAGAAGCTTCAACTCCAGTTGAACGAAACCAAGTCACAAGCCTTTGTGTCGGTGAGTCGTACACCGTCACTGCTTCATCGCCCCTCATTTTGTCCTCCCAAGGGTTGGTATACCAGTCCCTCAGACTCCCCCCTAACCCCCTTCACATCCCAATCTCATGGCCTCTTTTTCTTATAACCCATTGAGTTCAGTTAGCACTGCCCATGTGGGCATGGGTGGAAGGCCATTGACTATAGCATGGGCAGCATACCAGAGACCACATCTTTGAGGAAAACTGACTCTCTGTCCCTTAGAAGCCATGACCTGCCAATAGTCTCAGCTAGAGATGGTCCTTGGCATCCCTCCCATATCATGGAAAGCTGACTGGCTTGATATTATTATGTAAGTCTTACATGCAACCACAACTGCTGTATGAGTTCATGAGTACAATTGCCCTGTCATGTCCAGAAGACACTATTGAGCTCCAGTTCCCACTGACCTCTGCCTCTTAGAATCTTTCTGCACTTTCCTTTTGCAACATTCTCTGAGCCTGTGGGAGGGGGTGCAGGAGAGCCTGTTGGGGCCATTTTACAAAAGAAGACACTAAACACATTCCAGTGGTACAAAGTCCATCCCATGGGAAGCACCACTGAGGCCCAAGCTCTGTGGGCTGACAGCTGATGAGCCCTTCATCCATGATTCCCACATGTACCTAACAGTAGAACCCTCGTGAGACAAATCTGAGGGAACTTAGTATGGAAAACAAACAAAGCCAGAGCTGGTGTATTTGCTTGGGGCAGGCCAGCACAAGGCTACCCCTGATATCTTCTGACTCTGGTGAAAACTAGTACCCCATCCTTACTTCCTGCCATCACCCCACTACCCTCCCCACCATGCTGTTACTAGGAACTGGGGGTGTGTATGTCTAGGCCTCTGATCCCAGTCTTTCCAAATTCTAGAACCACTAAGAATTAGCACCTGACCTAGGGTGAGACCTCACGAGTCGGACCTGAATCACACTCCTGAGTTCATCCTGAAGTTCAGCAAGTCCTCTCTAAACCGTGTTCCTACATGACTGCTGTTCTTTCTCCCTGAATGGGTGCCAGAGAACATTTATCAGAGAGCAGTAAATTCTATCCTTTTTACCCTTTGCACGTAAAAGCACAGTCTGAACGTCCAGAAGACAGTACCAGATGGCCAAAAGGAGGGTGAAGTTTTTTGTGTAAAATAACAAATTCACATAAATGTGAACAGCCCAAAATGGGAAGGACTTCCATGGAGCAGTGGGACTTTTGGTTGGTTGGTTGGTTGGTTGGTTGGTTGGTTGGTTGGTTTTTACATCCCAACCAAAGTTTCCCCTCCCTCCTCACCTTCCAGTTTCTCCTCCCTTCCCCCATCCACTCCTCCTCTTCTGTTTCTCTTCAGATAAGGGGTAGATCTCCAATGGGTATCAACCAGCCAGGTATATCAAGTTGCAGTGAGACTAGGCACTTCCTCTTCTATTAAGGGTAAATGAGGCAATCTGATAGAAGGAACAGGTCCCAAAAGCAGGCAACAGAGTCAGAGACAGGATCTTCTCTCACCATTAGGAGTCTCACAAGAAGGCCAAGTTACACAACTGTAACACATTTGCAGAGAGCCTAGGTTGGTCCCATGGTTCCCTGATTGTCAGTTCGGTCTTTGTAAGCCCCTATGAGCCCAGGTTAGTTGATTCTGTAGGGGTTTTTACAGTGTCCTTGTCCCCACTGGCTCCTACAAAATGCAATAGTAAGCAGAATCATTACAGAGAGCCTTTTAGAAGCAGCGTTTTCATTGCATCTCAAGATAACAATAGTACTCAAAGGCTAGAGTGTATTCCCAATCTGTACATAAGCAGCAATGGGAAACAAAGTACATGATGCCTCACATAAAGGATCCAGAAAAATAGAAGAGAGGCAACAAGAAATAAATGAAGGAATGAGCAACTGTTTGAACAATCATGTAGCTTAAATTTAAGATGAGAATCTTAGACATAAGTGAATAAGGTTCTTGTCCACATTTAAAAGGGCAGGTGTTGCCTTTGTGAATTCTAACATTGCCATATCTATCATAGAAAGTCTCAGGCCCTTAGTTAAACCACTGAAAGTACAAGGTCTCTTTTCTGACACCTCTTCACTAGAAATGACAGTACACCTTTGCTCTAGTCTAGGGAAACTTAAAGATTGACTTTTAATCCAAGATAAAGCTAGCAAATGAACTGAAAAATACATATTCTGGTAGTTAGCTATTCAAAATTACATAATCCTTCTTTTCTATTTTCATTTCTTTGATTTATTATTTTATTTTCTCATTAATAATATCAATTCTACCTTTAATTTAAATCCAACAGATACTGAGTAAAAAACAATTTTGACCATCTATCTGACAGAGAATTAGTACCTATAATCTATAAAGATATCAAAAATTAAACACCCCAAAACTGTATCATCCAATCAATAAATGAGCAGTTTAGTCAAGCAGATAGTATTCAAAGGAAGAAAAACAAATGGCCAGTAAAAATATGGAAAAAAAATCACCATCTTTAGTCATCAGGGAAACGCAAATTAAAACTGCATTTAGAATCTATCTCACCCAAGTTAGAATGGCTATCATCAAGAAAACAAATGACAGAAAATGCTAGTGAGGATGTAGGGAAAGGGAGACACATACATCACTGTTCCTGGTGATGTAAACCAGTGTAGCCACTGTGAAAATCAATATGGAGGTTCCTCAAAAACCTGATAATAGAATTACCGTATGATCTAGCTGAACCACTCCTGAGCATCTATTGGCAGGAATTTAGGTCAACAGACCACAAAGACACTTGTAGATCTTTGTTTATTGCTATGCTAGTCACAGAATGTAAGATGTAGAACCAGCCAAGATGCCCTTCAGCAGATGAAAGGATTTAAAAAAAAACAGTGAGTACACACACACACACACACACACACACACACACACACACACACACGTGACTTTTACTCAACCATAAAGAAAAAATGGAATTATGTCATTCTCAGGAAAATGAATGGAGTTGGAGATATTATTTAATGAAATTAACCGGATTCAGAAAGATAAATCTCATGTTTTCTCTCATTGTATTGGTTAGCTTTCTATTACTGTGATAAAACACCATGATCAAAATCAACTTGAAGAGGAAAGGGCTTATTCATCTGACAGCTTGTAGTCCATCATCTAGGGAAGTCAGGGCAGGAACTCAAGGTAGGGACCTAGAGACAGGAGCTGATGCAGAGGCCATGGAGGAGTGCTGCTTACCGGCTTGCTCCTTATGGCTTGCTCAGCCTACTTTCTTGTACTATTCCATGACCACCAGCCCAGAAACAGCGTCGTCTACAATGATCTGGGTCCTCCCACATCAATCATTCGCCAAGACAATACCTCACAGTGTTGCCTACACGACAATCTCATGAAGAGATTTTTTTTTCAATTAAGATTTCCTTTCCCAAATATGTCTGGGTTTGTGTCAAGCTGACAAAAGTCAACCAGCATACTCATATGCAATATACGTGTGTGTGTGCGTGTGTGTATGTATATGTATATATCACCATGTGCATACATACACACACACACACACACACACACACACACACACACATGCACACACACCTGATTTTGAGAAAATAATAAAGTCTTACCTGTATTTTTTAACCCTTAGAGAAGCCCCACCTTCAGAACTGGCTCTTTGCTCTCACTCTTTTATTTATCAGAGCTTTGTAATTATTTGTTTATGATGTTTTCCCCATAATTTTATAAGACTCTAAAGATTGCATGCCCTCTTTTTAATTTATATTCCCCGGACCTCATTCAATGCTTTGAAAGCAGCAATAAATAAATAAATGTTAGACTGGATTTATTGGTAGTAATGTTGATGTGAAGTTCCAGCATGTACATAGCTTCTGCAGTAATATATGCCAAGCAAATGCCAAGGCAAATTAATTTAAGTTCAATATATTTGTTGTAAAAAAAAATAGTACATCATATTTTTGGAAGTTGACAGTCCCAAAACTAAGTTGAACACATGCAGAGACTATCTGAAGACTTGAAGAATCACCAGTCCTAAAATTATACTTTTGATCATTCAGTATAATTAAATATAAATTTCCAGTTATGATATAGAGTGTGGATCATTCCCAACTCACTAAAATTAAGAGCAAATTTCTAGTTATGATATAGAGATTTGATCATTCCTAACTCACTACAACTAAATACAAATTTCAAGTTATGATTAAAAAAATAGGAATTATTTATAGTTTTCTCATGAACCAAAAATTGGCATGTGGTTAGACTTATCTATATGACTTCTAGTTCCCAGGTAGCAGATAACTGTGATTATCACATATTTGAAGTCAGAAGATGGAAAGGGGTGAGAATGAGGTTTATGTCTTGTAGATTTCTTTTCACAGACCTTAATGTACTTGAAAAAAACCCTACACATTTGCTTTCTAGGCCAAAGTTTCATTTGTTCATGGTTTGTTTATATTGATCAGGTATGAGACAGGTTTCATTTCTTGTTCTTAATCAGTTCATCTGCCTGTCAGTCAGGGAGATGTATCAGTTGAGAGGGAAAGACACTGAAAAGAACTCAGGGCTGCTATGAAGAAAAGGTAGCACACCATATTCCTTCCTAAACTCCTATTTTCTATTAATACTTATATTTTAGCAGCTTTATTGAGATAGAAGTTATTTACTGTGAACTTAGTCCTTTTAGAGTTCATAGTTCCATGAGCTTTGGTCTATCCAAAAGACTCTGCAGTCATCAGCACCCTCACATTTCAGAATGATTTCTTCACTACAAGGGAATTGCCATAATCATTAGCAGTTACATTCTGTTTTCCCCTCCCACAGCCCTAGAAACCTCTGATCTAGACCTTTATGTATGTGCCCTTTCATGGAGATTTTATCTAAACATAGTCTTTTTACAAAAGGTAGTCTTTTGTGACTGTTTATTTTTTTCACCTAGCATACTCCAAGCATGTTATAGCATGGATTTATGGATTTACCAGTAGTTCCTTTGCTTCTTTTTATGGCTAAATAATATTGTATTGTAAATATGCAATACTTTGTGTAAGTGTGTGTTGGTTAATAGACTTTTGGTGTTTCTATATTCGAGCTCTTGTATATATGTCCCCTGTGAACATTCATATCCAAGATTCTATCTAAGTGCATTTTCAGATCCTTGGGGTTTATACTTAGGAATAGAATTGCTGATTGTTCATCATTTTGAGATACTATTAAATTGCTTTCTAAATGGGTTGTACCATTCTAAAATCCTACCCATCATATATCCATGTTCCTGTCAACATTTCTTGTTTCTGTCTCACGGTAACCTTCCTAGTGGGTGTGCCCTAAATGTTGCTATGTGCTGACTACATCTTTCATTTGTACTCAGTGTCCACTGGGAGAGCTCCTAGGGAGGTCTTCTACATTCTTTGTACAAGGCCCTTGGCAAATGGAAAATTTGCACATCTTCTCTCCTATTCTGTGGGTTTTCTTTCCATGTTTTGTTATCTCAATGTATATAGTCTAGAAAGACACCATGACCTTTTTAAAAACCAGGAGACCATTGTGAAGTAAATTGGAAACCTACTAAATTCTCTACAAGGTACCTACTGACTGAGTATGCAAAATAAAATATGCATACATCCAACACTTACTGATCCAAGAGAAAACCTAGATTAAGCCAGACACAGGGTGCCTCAAGAATTCTTGATCAGTAAAGGCAGCTGAAACATCAAGCAGGCTCTGTAGTCTTGCCTTCTACTTCAACTGTGCAATGAAGGAACACACCTCACCAAGATTATCACATTCCTTCTGAAGTGCTGAGGGGAAGAATGTAACATCCACCTCTCTGCACAGTGGAAGCCAGTTAGCCTTCTAGCAGAGCAGTACATCATTCTTTCGTGTTGTTGTATATTAAGGGACATTATACTGTCTATGGGGGTAGAACCAAGGCCCCAGATGCAAAGACACTGGTGTAAATAATCACACCTTCCCTTAATAGACCTGCCAGGAGCACCTGCCAGGCCCCAAGCATTGTGTTAGGCAAAGGGAACTCAAGAAAGACTAACCCAGATTAATGCTCATAATGGTGTCCACATGGGGACAAAAAAATTAGAATGCAGCTACTCCAACTAAGAATAGAGGATGGGGTGAGATAAATGTAGAATGTTTATCAGTTTATGAAGTACATTCATGTTCATTTCACAGTTACTTACTGAGCATGAAATATGTGCCTGGTACAAGGGGCAGGAGCTGTAAAATAAATAAATAAATAAAAGTGCAGCCCAAGAGCTGGCAGATATGCAAACACGCCAACCAATGAAGCAGTATCATGAAGCTCCACAGTACACAGAGCTTACCTTAACCACTGACACATGCCACTTGCCCAGACCTGAGCCCGGAGCATGGCAGACACCTAGGAATATCTGCTGATAAAGCAACCAACCGCGTGCCCATGACCCATGCAGAGAGCAGGCTATTCTCCTCTTCAGTCCTCAGAGTGCACCAGCGTGAGAGGGCGAGAATCTTACTAACTCCATTAAGAAGCAGACTAACCATGCCTAGTGATGCCTGTGATCCCAGAACTTGGAGACAGAGGCTGGAGGATTGCTGCTAATCTAGGGTCAGCCTGGGTTACACACAGAGACTTCAGGACAACTGAGGTTACACAGCGAGACTCTGTCTCATGAAAGGAAGGAAGGGAAAGAGGGAGACAAAGGGGGTGGGGTGGGGGTAGAGGCGAGACGGAAGGGAGACTAAAGGTAGATGGTGTATACTAATGTTCTTGGGCTCTAAGTGTGGAATCTGGCCTAAATCACAGGAGCTCTCACTCTTGCCCTGACATCTGGGCACAATAGCCCCCAACCATTCCCCTCCTAAATGTGCTTCTCTCCAAAAGCAAAGCCCAGTTTGGGATCCCAGGATGAAACTCAGGAAGTTCTTAACTGAAACAAAACCATGAGTGTTTGGACACGCTTCAGAGCCCAGGGACCTGTCCAGCGAGCAGTTCCTCAGCTGCTCTGTGGCACCCCGAGCCATGTCTAAGACAGGCCAAACAGGCTGAAGAAATTAAATCATTTGAATGTATGATTTTAATGATATAGGAAAATGAATAAAACACAACCCCTAAAATCACGCTGGAAACAGTCTAGCTGACAGAGAAGCAAGTTCAAGCAATTTTATCTCCGAATGTGCTAAATAAGGTAGAGGGTAAACTCTGGAGGTGGATTGTGGGAAGGGTTGTGCAGCAGTGTGACTCAATGCCCTGACACAGCATGGTTGAAATGGTGAGGCTGGCACTGGGGATGCAGCTCAGTGGTAAAGTGCTTGCCTAGCCTAAGGAAAGCCCTGGTTCCCACCATTCCCAGGGATGGAGAGATGGAGAAAATAAAGGAGGGAGGGAGTTGATAAGAAAGAAAAAGAAACATGCAGCCTAGGAGCCCAGAGGCAGCCTCCATCTGAAGATCTAAGGAAGAAAGAAAATGTTTCATGGAAGCCATGTATCTGAGCTGGAATTTAGAGAGAGCTCCAGTGGGACAAGCAGGGAAGCATGTCACCCAAGGTCCCAGTGGAGCAAATGTCAGGAAGCAGAGGCGATGAGGACACAGCCATGGGCTGGGGACATGGGGGTGGGGGGCAGAATAACAGCCAAGGGTACTCATCCCCAGACAGGACTTCATCCTGAAAGCCACGAGTATCCATTTGTTAAATGTCATGGAGACTAGGCAATGGGTTTGGAAGAGCATTTGAATGCATTTTTTCCCACTAAAGAATGGAAGTTTATCTTCCTTCGAAAAGCAAAATAACTAATCCAAAGTATACCTTGCCTACTGCTGGCCAAGAAGACTTTATTGCTTATCTTTCTCACTGCTGGGTCCACATATCTTGGGGAAGCAACTTGATGGAGGGAGGGTTTATTCAGCTCACATCACATCTGCAATCGGGAAACAGTGGAAGCTGAATGCTGGTGCTCAGCTTGCCTTCTCTGTTAATGCGGTTCAGGACTCCAGTCCATAGAATACTGCCACCCACAGTAAAGGTGGGTCTTTCCACCTCAGTTTACCTAATCTAAGCATTCTCTCAGAATCATGTCCATGGGCTCATCTCTTCAATGATTCTAGAGCCTGTTGAGTTAACAATCACTATTAGCCAGTTAACAATCACTATTAGCCATCACAAGAACTTTTCGGGCAGGGATGCCTGGAAAGTGTTTACCCTTAATATGCCCCTACATAGCCACTTTGCTCCTTCTGTGGGGAGATGTTCATCCCAGTACCTTCATTCTGTGAACCATATAATAGGGTGAGATTCCCACTAATGCAGGTTAAGGCACTGGGGACAAATGACTTGGGAACTCTTATTGTCCCATGGTACCATTCATTCCAGACAGTTCCAGAAACCTTTATCCTCTCTTTTGTGCACCCATGCTTCCCACAGGGAACTGCTTGTCAGAAAAAGGCGGCACTTACAGGAGATGCTCTTTCTAACCCTCCCCACTGGGAAAACAATGAAGATTCTGAAGAATATCTTCCCCTTGCTATACCATCTGCATCTAAAAAGAACCTATTTTTGTAAGGAAGTTCAGACATGAGAAACATACCTCCAGCATCATTTGCCTCTTTTCTCATTGTGCTGATGTCTGGCATAGTGTCTTTCTTCTCTGACTCTCTTGATGGGTTTGGGCATCACAGTAACTTGGGTTTTTCTTGGAGGGTTATAGATGATCTCTACCATCAGCACTCCTCTTCCCAACTCTATGAAAGATCCAGAAAAATAAGACTTTTAGATTTGTGTCTTGGATATTTTTATGGCTAATATCACTTCTCAGATGAAATGACTTCTAGAATAAATTGCTCTCTCTATGTGTATATAAGTCTGTAAATAATACTTGTGAAAAATCCTCAGCCACATGCAAGAGGAGAGAATCCTAGAATCACATAAGGCTGAGGCAGGTTGCTCTCACAGTAGCAAGGTGTGCATGGAAAACAAAATTTCCCTTCTGGGACAGACTTCAAGGACTTGAGGCATATCCTGCCTCAG